AAAAAAGAAAGCATTGAGATTAAACAACATGCTACTGAAAAACAATGGGTCAGCAATGAAATCAAAGAAGAAATTAAAAATACTTTAAGACAAATGACAAAACACAACCACACAAAATCCATGGGATGCAGCAAAAGCAGTCCTAAGAGGGAAGTTCATAATGATACAGGCCTTCCTCAAAAACAAGAACAATCTCAGGTAAACATCCTAACCTATCACCTAAAGGAATTAGAAAAAGAAGAGCAAACAAAACCTAAAGTCAGCAGAAGAAAGTAAATTATAAATATCAGGGTGGAAATAAATAAAATGGAGATTTAAAAAATAGAGAAAAAAATCCATCAAACCAAGAGCTAGTTTTTTGAAAGAGTAAACAAAATTGACAAATCTCTGGCCAGGCTCACCAAGAAGAAAAGAGAACACACACACACAAAACAAAATAAGAAAGGAAAATGGAGAAATTACAACCAATATCACAGAAATGTAAAGAAAAAAATACTATAAACAACTATATGGAAACAAACTGGACAACATAGAAAAAATGGACAAGTATCTGGAAACACACAGTCCACCAAGATTAAATCAAGAAGAAATTGACCACTTTAACAGACTGATCACTAGAAATGAAATAGAATCAGCAATTAAAAAAACCTCCCCTATAGACAAAAGTCCAAGACCAGACGGCTTCTCTGGGGAAGTCTACCAAACATACAAAGAACTCACCCCAGTCCTTCTCAAACTCTTCCAAAAGACTGAAAAGAAGGGAGTACTCCCAAACTCATTCTATGAAGCCATCATTACCCTGACACCAAAACCAGACAAGGACACTACTAAAAAAGAAAATTACAGGCCAACATCACGGATGAACATAGACACAGAAATACAAAACATTAGTACACAGAATCCAACAGCACATAAAAAGGATCAAACAACATTATCAAGTTGGATTCAACCGAGGGACACAAGGATGGTTTAACATAAACAAATCAATCAATGTGATACACCACATCAACAAAGGAAAGGGCAAAAATCACATGATCACCTCAATAGATGCAGAAAAAGCATCTGATAAAACAACACCCATTTATGATAAAAACAACACAGTGGGTATAGAGGGAACATATTTCAAGATAATAAAAGCTATTTATGACAAACCTACAGCCAGGATAATACCCAATGGTGAAAAACTGAAACTCTTCCTACTAAAATCTGGAACAAGACAAGGATGCCCACTCTCACCACTTCTATTCAACATAGTCTTGGAAGTCCTAGCCACAGCAATCAGGCAAGAAAAAGAAATAAAAGGGATCCAAATTGGAAGAAAAGAGGTAAAATCATCACTATATGCAGATGACATGATACTATATACAGAAAACCCTAAAAGCTCCACACAAAAACTACCAGAGCTAATAAAAGAATTTGGCAAAGTCGCAGGATGCAAGATTAACGTACAGAAATCAGTTGCATTTCTTTCCATTAACAATGAAAATAGCAGGAAAAGAAAGTAAAGAAACAATCCCTTTTAAAATTGCATCCAAAACAATAAAATATCTAAGAATAAATCTGACCAAGGAGGTGAAAGACTTATACACAGACAACTCCAAAACACTGATTAAGGAAATTAAAGATGACCTAAAGAAAAGGAAAGACTCCATGATCTTGGATTGGGAGAATCA